GCAAAGTGGTTTTTCTGTAGTATCGCGGATAGACGACCGCTTGGGGGGGGAGCTCGTTCTTCGCGATTTTAAAGATTTCGAGAGATTACAGCCGCAAAATGGGATTTGAGTGGACTGTCTCTCCCCTCTCTTGTGTTTTCGGAGAATCTGAGATGTGAACACTTGTCCCCGTCTGATCTTTTGCCCCGGATCCTCCAGGTCAATGCGGGCACCTTTCGCCGCAGTTGGGCTTGGAAGGGCAGCAAATGCTACTCAGCAAAGCCAGTACAGATCGCCTTGTAGAGAGCTGTACGTTCTTGGGACCAACATGGCTCACTTCTACCATTTCGCGACCTCACAAGAAATTGCAGGCCTCAACAAAATGACTTCTTTTAGTTCATATGAGGTGGCAAAAAAGTTTTCGGAAGTGCAATATGCCGCCTCGAGCCGAACAGCGCCCGCGTTTCTTTTCAAGCTCTCTCCCAACGTGTCGATTCTTCCGTATCGCAGATTCTCCCAAGCCGTGGTCTCCTCACATTAGCAAGTATAGGAAGGGCCTGGAACAGAACGCTTATTCTAGTTTAGACCCATCAATATACTAGCCAGCTGGACTCGAGTTTTACCTGCCTATTTTTTGTCTAATTGGAAGGGATGTATGTCAAGACAATCGTAATTCTCCGCGCTGGAGGGCGTCGCGTGCGAGGTCGCGCCTGTAAATGACGTTGTTCCAGGTCTTAGATGGCGCCAATATACAGTGTATAACCAGAAATAGCCATAAATCCCTACAATTTCACAGTCTAAGTGAAATACACTGCTCCAGTCGACAGGCTAGTGCAAATTAGAAAAACGCTACGCCCACGCCGCGTGCGGCGCAGCAGCAGATTACGATTGTCTTGACCGTCTCCCAGTTCGAAGCACTAATGTAAGATCTTTCAGAGCTTGATACTAAGGGTCGAAAGCTATCGGAGGACTCTTTCTCATACAAACTGGGAATGTTATGCTTGAAGTCAATGAGTAGGCTCGTCATAGCTGCACCTCATTTTAACTATGCTACTAATATACTGTCCTCACTTATTCGTCTATCGCTATGCAGTCTACCAACAGTACGTTTTCTTTCATTCTAGCAGAACACGCTGGTCCGATTCCGGTCACCTTTAGCATTTTAGGTAGTGTCTGAAGTGTGCGATACATTACATCGAGATTTTCATAGAGGTTTCACTTCACGGAATGTCATAATTATATCGGGCGCTCGAACATAGCTTCACTTGTACAACGCAAAGGCCATCGTTCCCCTCAATTATCTGGTGCACATTCCTATCTCCTAACATCAAGTGGTCGTGTTCATTTACTCTAAGCAACCTTTCATAATTCTGCGGAATCGTGCTTACACTTCGCTGTATCCTTCCGATATACATTAGCTGTTTAGGAACTAAAACAAGAGCCAAAAGTCAGCGTAAAGTCGAATCTTTTGCAAAAAGACTATGCATAAAGGAAAAGAGCTAACAATAACCGCAAAAAGGTAGCGGTATCGAACTCTTTAAGTTTTTGTTTTTAACTTCACTTGCACTGCTTCATACTTTGTGTCAGATTAGCTTCGCAGCGTTTGATGTTCACGCTAGAGACCCGTACTAGAAAGCATGAATATTGTCCAACCCGCGCCAGCGCTCGCCACGTCTAGGACAGATACCGATCTACGCACGCCAGCGACCTATGGAAAGATCTAGCACCCAGCGTTTTCCAGTAAAGAGTTGAAGACAAACTGCCAGCGAAAGCCCGTGACCTGGCATAACGCTGGAGTACGCCGATCGATACCTACACTTTCCTAGCCGCTGTCGCGGCCTACGCCTGTATGCGACATTAGAGCGCAGGCCTGACTAGATAGTTAGTATCGTGTCTCAAGTAATTTTCTATAACGAAAAGCGCGTACCAGAGTAGAGGAGGGACACTTGGCGGCGTTAATCGAAGGGTCACTTGCATTGGAAGCTTTTCGGCTTAGAAGCGGACTTCCGCCCCTTTTCCTAAGTTCTTTCGGCTAGTTTCTTTGATACAACGTGCCACCTGGTGAGATCGTATGGGCAGCGCCTTACTAAGTGATGCTTCTGCTTTTGTATAGCTCCACGAAAACTTTCACTTTCCTCACTTCTCCACAAGAGGCACTTGGCAGTAATCGGTGCTAACTAGGGAAGTGCACCCACCAAGACGAACCGCGCCGGCTCATAATGCCTCCTACAGATAATGCGTAGGAGACCGGAAGCGGGCAGAGTCATCTCAGGGAGCAGAAGATCGGATTCCGTTGCGTAGCCTAACTACAGTGTCCCTCAAAAGCTAATGAGAAGTGCGAGGATAGCCTTTTTACATTGTTACGTTGAAACCTAAGTTCTCAACCATTTTCAGTACAAGAAGCAGCTGGATAAGCTGGAAGCGGATTTGAAAGAACTTGATGCAGCAGAGACGCTATCAACTAAGATGAAAACGGTAAGTTTACTGGAAATCTGATTGGCTCTGGTAGCATAAGAGTACAGGAAGACGAGGTGATGCGCTCATCCTATTTGTTTTCGGTGCTCTATTCTTCTTATGCTGTGGAGTGTTGATTCGCATAATGTAGGTGAAGCCTGAATAGCTCAATAAATGCTTTCCAGGCCACGGAAACTATGAAGCATGTATTTCAATGCTATTTCTCCGTTTTAAAACGAGTTCCAAATGTAGCTTTGCTCGAACCCGTGCTCGAGGGCCTAAGCAAGTTCGCTCATCTGTTAGGAGTGGAGTTTTTCGAAGATATTGTCTGTACTATGGAAAATCTCGTGGACAAGGAGGTAAAGTCTCGTACATACAGGCCACGTTTCAAACTTTCGTATCTTCTTATAAGCCCAGCTTTCAGCACCTGCGAATTTTGGATCAGTTGTACTGTATCAATACGGTGTTTGTGATCCTATCTGGTGAAGGTCAACTTCTTAACATTGATCCATCACGATTTTACCGCTCCATTTATCGATTGCTCAATCAACTGCCTTTTGAAAAGAAACCAGGTAATGGTGCGATTTGTGATTCTGGACTTGCCCATTCTAGTTCTTGTCCTTGTTATTGGGGGTGGGTTCACGGCTAGCAAAGCAAAATGTGTACATAAGTATCGATAGGCGAATTCGGTGGAGTGTGCCGGCGAAAAGAGTAAAATACTTATGAATCGGGATAACCGGCGAAGCGAGTGGGCAAAGCTGGCACTTCGACCGCTCTCCGAATCCTTCCCCTCCCCGAAGCTAACCATAAGTCACAAATCGATGAGTATTTAGCTCCTTCCGCACCTTTTGTACCGGATTCGCTAACATTTGCACAAAGCAGTTGACAGTTCTTCCAGTCGATACGTATTTATTCCTTTCGCCGCTTCTCCAATTTGTCAGGGTCCC